GATAGTAAGAGATGCCATTCAAGGTGGACTTAAAGCCCCACCACCAGCCACAGGTAATGAGGCTACTGGGGACCCATCCTTGTCACAAATGCACAAACTAAAAATAAGGAGCCCCACCATCTTTATTTTTTTTTAATAAACATTATTCCATAGAAAACCATGAATTACAAACAATGACATCCACCAGACCCTTCTCCTATCAAGGGAGTCCCATCAGTACCAAATCCTTCCTTCTTTAAAAAAAAAAAACTTTATTCCATAGGAAACCATGAATAAGAAACAATGACACCCACCAGACCCTGCTCTGGCACAGATTAGGGGAGCCCCACCAGCACCCAATCCTTCCTTCTTTTTGAAAAACCTTTTTACATAGGGGACTGTGAATTACAAGCAAAGGTATCCACCAGACCCTCCTCCTACTTCTCCAGCACATTTCACCCCAAGAGGGTTTAAACATGGAGGTGACAACAGTCCAGTTGTCCCCTTTGGTGGTGAAACACTTTGAAGGAGAAGCAGAGTTAGGTGGAAGGTGTTTGTAATGCACACCAAATTCTTTCTTTTTTTTTATTCAATAAACTTTATTCCATAGAGAACCGTTAATTACAAACAAAGGCATCTATCAGACCCTACTTCTCTTCCAGCACATTTCACACAAGAGGGTTTAATCATGTACATGACAACTGTCTGGTTGTCCCATTTGGTGGCGAAACATGTTGAAGGAGAAGCAGGGTCTGGTGGAAGGTGTTGTTTGTAATGCATGCAAAATTCTTTTCTTTTCTTTTTTCAATAAACTTACATAGAGTACCTTTAATTGCAAACAATGTCATCCACCACACCCTGGTCCTCCTCCAGCACATTTTAACCCAAGGGGGGTTTAATGATGGAAGTGACAATTGTCTGGTTGTCCTTTTTTGGGGTGTAACACATTGAAGGAGAAGCAGGGTCCAATGGAAGGTGTGGTTTGTAATACACTCCAATTTTTTTTTTTCAATAAACTTTACTCTATAGGCAACCATGAATTATAAACAACAGCATCCACCAGACCCTGCTCCTCCTCCAGAACATTTCACCCCAAGGGGGAATAATCATAGAAGTAACAACTGTCTAGTCTTCCCCTTTGGTGGTGAAACACTTGAATGAGAAGCCACGTGTGGTGGAAGGTGTTGTTTGTAATGCACATCAAATTCTTTTTTTTTTCAATAAACTTTATTCCATAGGGAACCATTAACTACAAACAAAAGGTATCCACCAGACGGTGCTACTCCTCCAGCATATTTCACCCCAATGGGGTTTAATCAAGGAGATGACAATTGTCTGGTCGTCCCCCTTTGGTGGTGAAAACACACTGAAGGAGAAGCAGGGTCTGGTGGAAGGTGTTGTTTGTAATGCAAGTCAAATTCTTCTTTTTTTTTTTTCTTCAATAAACTTTCTTACATAGGGAACCATTAATTACAAACAAAGGTATCCACCAGACTGTGCTCTTCCTTCAGCATATTTCACCCTAAAGGGGTATAATCATAGAAGTAGCAACTGCCTGGCCGTCCCCTTTCTTGGTGAAACACTTGAAGGAGAAGCAGGGTCTGGTGGAAGGTGTTGTTTGTAATGCACGTCAAATTCTTTTTTTTTTCAATAAACTTTATTCCATAGGGAACCATTAATCAAAAACAAAGGTATCCACCAGACTGTGCTCCTCCTCTAGCATATTTCACCACAATGGGGTTTAATCATGAAGATGACAACTGTCTAGTCGTCTCCTTTGGTGGTGAACCACGTTGAAGGAGAAGCAGGGTCTGGTGGAAGGTGTTGTTTGTAATGCACATCAAATTCTTTTTTTTTTTCAATAAACTTTATTCTATAGGGAACCATTAATTACAAACAAAGGTATCCACCAGACGGTGCTCCTCCTCTAGCATATTTCACCCCAATGGGGTTTAATCATGGAGTTGACAATTGTCTGGTCGTCCCCTTTGGTGGTGAAAGACGTAAAGGAGAAGCCGGGTCTGGTGGAAGGTGTTGTTTGTAATGCACGTCAATTTATTTTTTTTTCAATAAACTTTATTCCATAGGGAACCATTATTTACAAACAAAGGTATCCACCAGACGGTGCTCCTCTTCCAGCATTTTTCACCCCAATGGGGTTTAATCATGGAGTTCACAATTGTCGGGTTGTCCCCTTTTGTGGTGAAACATGTTAGAGGAGGAGCAGAGTCTGGTGGACGGCCTTGTTTGTAATGAACAATTTCCTATGAATTAAAGTTTATTTAAAAAAAAAAGAAAAAAAAAAAAAAAAAAGGAAAAGCCAGGATTTGGCAGTGTTACGGCATCCTTCACTCTCAATCAGGCGATCACGTTGGAGAGTCACACAGCTGGAAAATAGTTGCGAGCGGCCACATAAATCCCGCTGACATTTCTATTGCCCACTTTCCCAATTTCACGGCTCCCATCTTGAGGAGGCGCGCAGGCAATAAATGTTAATAAGCATTGTTCATTAATATGCAACCATCAAACCTGCGGCTCCCAGGATCACTAATGAGTGTTTGTTACTCTTCATTCTCGACATAAATATGGAGGAGATTCAACAAGTTTCTGAGAATGAAATATCATCACGACGCAGTTATCATTTCAAGAGGGTAATTAAAGTGATGTATAGTCATCCGGTGCGTACATCGCTCTATAGATGCCGAGACATAATCTATGCTGGAGCTCTCCATCAAAATGAAAAGGGATGTATAGGAGATAAAAATTATTTATGGCCTGTGGGCAGTTCGATCCAGAGCTAAAGGTGAACTCCAGCCTTGCCTTCAGGCTTGCACAGGTGTACCCAGGGGTGGACAGACCATTTGGAAACTCGGGCACTGCCTGAGGGCCCAGGGTCAGTAGGGGGCCCCATGAGATGCCCCTGCTACCTTTTTCATAGGCTTCTTTGAGTTTGGGCAAGGATACAGGGGCCCCATGATCCCCTATTGCCCGGGGGCCCCATGAGTTGTCAGTCCGCCCCTGGGTGTACCGGCTCCTCTCCTAGACTGAAATGGCTTCCTCTGATTTCACCGTACACTGTGAGCTCCTAACAATGTGCATTAGAAGCTGCAGCAAGTCAGATAGAGCTCTGCCTCGTTTCCTGGCTGGAATGCATCCAGCATCATTTAGCTCCAGGGGAGGACTGACAACTCATGGGGCCCCTGGGCAATAGGGGATCATGGGGCCCCTGTGTCCTTGCCCAAACTCAAAAAAGCCTATGAAAAAGGTACCAGGGGCATCTCATGGGACCCCCTACTGACCAAGGGCCCTCGGGCAGTGCCCGAGTTTCCAAATGGTCAGTCCACCCCTGTTTAGCTCCTTCCTTTCCAGCCTGACTGGCCCGCCCCTTTCATGCATTGAATTTCAGACATTTTAATCATGGAAGCTCAGTATTACATGTAGGCTTTACCATGGGCAGCCCATATTGGAACTCCCACTCCTCTAGAATGACTCCACCCTTAAAAACTCCTCCCAAGAGCCAGCCCACTGCTTGCATCAAGGCTAAAGAATCTTTAACCGCCTCCCGCCCACCATACAGTGCAATGACGGGTGCAAGGCGGTTCTCTCGTTCTGGGAGGACATCATATGACATCCTCCCGCTATAACCAAACGTGCACAGCTCCAGGAGATGGCAGCGCGGCGATCTGTGGTGCGCTGTGTCCCTCGGACACAGCGGATCACCGATCAATGGAAAGAGCCGAAGACGTCAGCTCGGTCATGTGATCAGTTGTGTCCAATCACAGCTGATCGCATGTAAATATGGAAATGCCGGTTATCAGCATTTCTCTCCCAACGAGCTGTCACGCTGACAGAGGAGAGGAGAGGAGAGCCGGTAATCGACATTCGTCGGAGGGGACATGTACACTGATCAGTGTGCCCTGATGATCAGCGTAGCCTCAGCAGTGCCACATCAATGCCACATATCAGTGCCTACCAGTGCACATCAATGCCACATATCAGTGCCCATCTGAGCTGCCTTTCAGTGCCACCTATCAGTGCCAGTCAGTGCCACCTATCAGAGCCGCCTATCAGTGCCCATCAGTGCTGCCTATCAGTGCCGCTTAACAGTGCCAGTCAGTGCCACCTAACAATGCCAGTCAGTGCCGCCTGCCTATCAGTGCCGCCTATCAGGGCCATATATGAGTGCTGCCTTTCAGTGCCCATCAGTGATGCCTGTCAATGCCCATCAGTGCGACCTACCAGTTTCTCCTCATCCGTGTCCATCAGTGCCACCTATCAGTGCCCATCACTGCAGCCTCATTAGCGCACATCAGTAAAGGAGAAAAATCACTTATTTACAAAATTTTATAACAAAAACTAAGAAAAAACTTTTTTTTTTTTCAAAATTTTCAGTTGTTTTTGGCTTGTTTAGCAAAAAATGAAAAACCCGAGGTGATTAAATACCACCAAAAGGAAGCACTATCTGTCTCAACAAAATGATAAAAATTTCATATGGGTAAAGTGTTGCATGACCGCGCAATTGTCATTCAAAGTGTGACAGCGATGAAAGCTGAAAATTGTCCTAGGCAGGAAGGGGGTAGAAGTGTCCTGTAGGCAGGAAGGGGGTAGAAGCGCCCGGTAGGCAGGAAGGGGGTAGAAGTGTCCTGTAGGCAGGAAGGGGGTAGAAGTGTCTGGTAGGCAGGAAGGGGGTAGAAGTGCCCGGTAGGCAGGAAGGGGGTAGAAGTGTCCTGTAGGCAGGAAGGGGGTAGAAGTGTCCTGTAGGCAGAAGGGGGTAGAAGTGTCCGGTAGGCAGGAAGGGGGTAGAAGTGCCGGTAGGCAGGAAGGGGGTAGAAGTGTCCTGTAGGCAGGAAGGGGGTAGAAGTGTCCTGTAGGCAGGAAGGGGTAGAAGTGTCCTGTAGGCAGGAAGGGGGTATAAGTGTCCTGTAGGCAGGAAGGGGGGTAGAAGTGTCCTGTAGGCAGGAAGGGGGTAGAAGTGTCCTGTAGGCAGGAAGGGGGTATAAGTGTCCTGTAGGCAGGAAGGGGGTAGAAGTGTCCTGTAGGCAGGAAGGGGGTAGAAGTGCCCGGTAGGCAGGAAGGGGGTAGAAGTGCCCGGTAGGCAGGAAGGGGGTAGAAGTGCCCCGTAGGCAGGAAGGAGGTAGAAGTGCCCGGTAGGCAGGAAGGGGGTAGAAGTGCCCGGTAGGCAGGAAGGAGGTAGAAGTGCCCGGTAGGCAGGAAGGGGGTAGAAGTGCCCGGTAGACAGGAAGGGGGTAGAAGTGCCCGGTAGGCAGGAAGGGTGTAGAAGTGCCCGGTAGGCAGGAAGGGGGTAGAAGTGCCCTGTAGGCAGGAAGGGGGTAGAAGTGCCCTGTAGGCAAGTGGTTACAGAAGTACTGAGGTAGGATGCTGTGATGTTTTCAAGAACCCTGCTAGCCCCTCCCACCAGCCATGATCTGCCTGCATTGCACAGAGAAGCTAAGAGACCCAATGTTGACAGGTAAGGTATATAATGGAAATTGAAAGGATTTATTTAAAAATTAATTAGCATTTTGATGTGGTGGGTGGATGAGGGGGAATGGGGGGGGGGCAATGAACATGTAGTCATTGTTTTTTACCTTTCAAAGGATTAGTAGAGTAAAACCTCCATGACTATCTCTCCATCCCTGCAGTGCTTTATGGCTTCATTTTGCCATTTTGAATAAATAGACTGGACCAGGGGCGGACTGAGCATTTGGAAACTCGCCCGAGGGCCCGGGGTCAGTAGGGGGCCCCATGAGATGCCCCTGCTACCTTTTTCATAGGCTATTTTGAGTTTGAGCAAGGACACAGGGGCCCCATGATCCCCTATTGCCGGGGGGCCCCATGAGTTGTCAGTCCGCTCCTGCACTGGGACTCAACAAGAACCACAAAATTGAGGTGTCTTTTGGTGTTTGCAATGGTGCAAAGGGTTTTAAATAGCTTCTAAGGGTTGCGGAGGCTTCTGTCCAAATTTTCTGCTGAAATGTTTTCCTAATTCCTATCCTGAGCTCAACCTTACTGTAGATCTTTACAAGTGTAATAAGTATAGAAGCAGAAAGACAGGGAAATAGAAAGAAAAAAATATATACATAGACATCAATGAAGCTCTAGAATCCTCCTCAGCACCAGGACTAACTCTACATGACACCGAGGTAAAGTTCCTTCAGTATGCAGATGACCTCCTACTACTGTCACCAACAGAGAAAGGTCTACAAGACAGCCTGGAAGTGCTGGAGGAATACAGAGTGACGTGGGCACTAATCACCAACCCAAAGAAAACAGAAATCATGAGAGCCAAAGCAAGCAAGAACACAACATAAATCAGTTCTTGTTTTAGAAATGCAATCTAGATTAATATGGATCAAACTAGACGTTTTGGATGGAAGAGTGCTGATAAGTTGTTGAAGACCTCATGGTTTGGTCCCTTCCTTGATGGTCAGTAAGCCTGTATGGTGGTATGAGTTGGGACTGCTGGGTTGTGGGAGGTCCCAGTATAATAACACCCTCTTCTGTGCTGCATGCAGTAATGTAAGATAGAGGTTGGGGGGGGGGGGAGAATGTGAGATAGAAGTTGGGGGGGGGAGGGAGAGAACATGTGAGATAGAGGTTGGGATGTGAGAGAATGTGAGATAGAGTTGGGGGGGAGAGAAACTGTAAGATAGAGATTTTTTTTTGAGGGGGGAGAATGTGAGATAGAAGTTGGGGGGGAGAGAACATGTGAGATAGAGGTTGGGGGGGAGAGAAAATGTGAGTAAGAGGTTGGGATGGGGAGAATGTGAGATAGAGATTGGGGAGGAATAGAGAATGTGAGCTAGAAGTTGGGGGGGGGGTGAAGTGAATGTGAAATAGAGGTTGGGGGGAGGGAGAATGTGAGCTAGATGTTGGGGGGGAGAGAGAATGTGAGATAGAAGTTGGGGGGGGGGAAAATGTGAGATAGAACTAGGGGGGAGAGAACATGTGAGATAGAGGTTGGGATGGGAGAGAATGTGAGAAAGAGTTGGGGGGGAGAGAATGTGAGATAGAGATTTTGTGGGGGGGGGGGGGTGTGAGATAGAAGTTGGGGGGGAGATGAGAACATGTGAGCTAGAGGCTGGGATGGGGAGAAATGTGAGATAGAGATTGGGGAGGACTAGAATGTGAGCTAGAGGTTGGGGGGGGGGGGGAATGTGAGCTAGAAGTTGGGGGGGGGGGGGGGGGGAGGAATGTGAGATAGAAGTTGGGGGGGGGGAGAGAACATGTGAGATAGAGGTTGGGGGGGGGGAGAGAAAAATGTGAGATAGAGGTTGAGATGGGGAGAATGTGAGATAGAGGTTGGGGGGGGGGGAGAGTGTGAGATAGAGGTTGGGGGGGGGGGAGAATGTGAGATAGAAGTTGGGGGGGGGGCAGAACATAGATAGAGGTTGGGGGGGGGGGAAAAAAAATGTGAGATAGAGGGCGAGAGATGGTGAGAATGTGAGATAGAGGTTGGGGGGGGGGGGAGAATGTGAGATAGAGGTCGAGGGGGGGGGGGGGGGAGAAAGAGGCAGAGAGAGGGAAACAGAGAAAGATTAGAGATTAGAGGAGAAGCAGACAGAACGGGGAAAAGATGAGAAAGTGATAGAGAAAAAGAGAGAATGTGAGATAGAAGTTGAGGGGGGAGAATTAGAGAGTGTGAGATAGTGGTTGGGGGGGGGGGGAGATGATAAGTGAATGTGAGATAAAGGTTGGGGGGATGTAAAAATAGAGGTTTGGGGGGGATTAGAAAATGTTAGATAAAGGTTGGGGGGAGAGAAAAAGGGGGAAACGAGAGAGAGAGGAGAAGCAGACAGAACGGGGGAAAGATGAGAAAATGATATAGAGAATGAGAGAGAACGTGAGTGAGGAAACAATGGAGATTTGTCTTCTTCCAGAGTCGCTGTGACCTCACAAGTTCAGCGGCTGTATAAATATCAGGCTCGCTCCGTCTCTAATCCAGCTGAATAAATAACGCTCGCATATTTTATTTATTCATCTCCAGCAATTATTGGGTTGTTGAGTTTAACAACCTATTAAAGAGGCTGTGTAAATACGCGATACATTACAACAAATATCTCGTTACCGAATGACTTCTTGTTTACAGTTCCACGCTTTAACTTTTAATGCAAACCCATAAAGACTTCCAGCGGTTCTCTTTGTGTTTATTATGGATGGAGAAGTCCGGCGCCCCGCGCGCAATTGTTCTACTCAGCTTACAGCAAAATTGCTTATTAGGCTGTGTAAGGCATTTACACGAATTAGGAGCGCAAAATACAATAATTAGATTAGCTTTTTTTTTTTTTTTTAAAGGGTTTATTTGCGAAGTTTGCAGTTCTGGAATAATATCAGCCACTATAGGCGCTTCACATCAGGAGAAGAAAATATTTGTAACATTATCTGTAATGATCTTCAACAGATGTGACTAAATATTGATCTTCAGCTCCTAGACCACAACATTGGAAATGTCCTAGGTGCACTTAGCTGGTAGTAAAGTCCCGGGAACATTTATCTCGGGCGTGGTTCTGGGCTTTGATATGGGCGCCACGGTCACTTTAGTAGTAGTTTTTTTTTTTCAAAATATTTTTATTGAGAATTCTCATATTTCCAAGCCAGTAAAAGAAGACACCATCAGCAGATATTCGAGAATGAAGTACAATCTCAATGCTACATTGACTATATACACTCCACCGGCAGTGGGAGAGGACTGACAACCGTATGGGGCACCCCTGGGGGCAATAGGGGATCATGGGGCCCCTGTGTGTCCTTGCCTTAACTCAAAAAAGGCCATATGAAACAGTTAACAGGGGCATCTAACATGGGGCCATACTACTGACCCCGGGGCACCCTCAGGCAGTGCCGTCGTTTCCAAATGGTCAAGTTCCGCCCCTGCTCACCAGGGCCACCTTCATTTTAGAACTAGTGAAAAGTTATCTTGAGAGGCTTCTTTCTTCACAGTTGGGTTTTTTTGTATCATCTTCAGCCAATATATTAAAAAGTACTTTTTTCCCTTTTACCTGTAATGTACACGTATAAACTGGCCTGTTTATTAGGTATACACACTGTTCATAAATTACATAGTTACCTAGTTAGTCTGGCTGTAAAAAAAGACAAAATCCTTCCAGTTCAACCATAGGAGAAAAAAAAGGTTATAATCCTACACCCACAGTTGTGGGCTTAGTAGAGTTAAGCATATGTTTGCCTGTGTAGTAAATGGGTGATGGTGTTTTGATTTCCCACGAACATGGTGCCTCCTGAATGGAGTTGTGTGGCATGTGCTCCCAGTGATTGTGGGTGGTTCTCCTCCATGTTCTTCCAGTTTCCTCTCCACACTCCCAAAGGACATGCTGGGTAGAGTTTAATTGGCTCCATGTCTAAATTGGCCCATATTTATGTGTATGTCATGAATGTGAGTTAGGGACCTTAGATTGTTTACACCACTTGAGGGTTAGGGACCGATGTGAATGTTCAATTATTTATGTGTTAAAGTGCTGTTGAATGTTCATTGACGGCACTATACAAGTACCTGGAAAAAAAAAAACCAAACACAAGCAAAGCACGATTCAATTTGACTAGCTGATGCTGGGAAATTAAATTTCCAATGCTTAGGTAAACAACTCAAAATTTTCTTTAATCAGCCAATCACATGGCTGCCAGAACTCATTGCATTTTGGCATCTAGACGTGGTGTGGTAGACGAATTGATGATTTTCCAAAACCGAGCATCAGGGTGAATGGAGATGAAAGGGGATTTAAGTGACTGTATGTGGTATGGTTGTTGGCTGCCGGTGATGGGCGGGGTCTGAGTATTTTCAAAAACTGCTGATCTACTGGGATTTTCATGCACAACCATCTCTAGGTTTTTACGAGTGAATGGTTCCGAAAAAGAGAAAATATCCAGTGAGTGGCAGTTGTGTGGAGTAAAATGCCCTTGTTGATGTCAGATGTCAGAGGTGAATGGGCCCCTAGACTGGTTCCAGATGGGCAGAAGGTAACAGGTAACTATGTCCAGTATGGACCAGGATCTCTGAGGAATGTTTCCAACACCTTGTTGAACTCTATGTGCACGAAGTATGCAAGGCGTGTGCAGTCAAAGGGGGTCCATTCTGAGGTACTTTCAAGGTGTGTACCGAGACCGCCTGAGCCAGTCATATCATTCTCTGCACACAGGAGATGAGAACAATCTAAGGGTATGAGGCCTCGGGTCAGATGTGAAGCCTGCAGTTGTTCACATGGTGAAGAGCCCAGCTTACATTGACGTGTCCTGAAACCGGTGCTTTGGCAGTGGTGATTGACTGAATTTAGACCTCTTCCTAGGAAGGCACAGGAGAGGTGGGTTGTTGTAATTCTGCCCTGCACTAACAAGTCATTGAGCTTACAATCTGAGGGATTGCCAAGGCCAGTATGAGTGGAGGGTCGAGTGTTTGATGAAGCCTGGAGAGAATGCCTTTAGAACTTCAGGATTTGGCCCGGCGATGTAGCATGGCAGACTCACACAACC